TTGTGCTGGTGCGTAAGGTCAACGTTTCGTTCATCTATAAAATGAGAAAGTGCAATTTTCAAAATTTTAAAACATGCAAATATATACAATATTTGCCGAGAAAAATTGAAGCCACCCGTATGCTTACCATTCATTGTACACAGCATCTATATTTTTACATTGATAGTCAAAAATAATTACCTGTGTCACTATCCTTAGCCAACGTTTGAGCTTCCTGAATCTTCTCAATTGCCTTTTTGGTATCTCCAAGATTGAACCAGGCAATTCCCAAACCTGTCAAAACCTTCTCTTTCAGAATATCATCATTAACCTCTGTTCTAACAATATACAGTGCCTTTTCATACCATTCTATCGCCATCTTGTAATCGCAATCTTTCCTGCAAACTGTTGCCAAATTAAAACATGATGTTCCTTCACAATGTCTATCACCAAGTTCCACAGCAATTGTCAAAGCTTCTTGGTAATATTCCTTCGACTTCTCATAATTATCAATGTTGCAGAGGATATTTCCGACCGCTTGGTTTGTGCGATATTCTTGATATTTGTCTCCAACTTTTTTGGCAATATCTTTCGCACTCTCGTAAAATGTCATTCCTTCTTGACGCTGACCAGCAATAAAGCAGCAATAGCCGCACCATTCATTGATAATTCCCTCCACAGCTTTCTCAAAGCAAACCCCTTGCATTTCGTTATTCATCATTTCTTTGTTAATGCTTAACGCTTTCTTGTAAGATTTAATGGCTTTCTCGTGTTTCTTTAATTGTCGAAAGGCATGGCCGAGCATGAGACATGCGTTGGCTTCTTCCTTTCTATCAGCAATATCAAGGGAAATTTCTTCAGCTTTGAGATACGATTTGATAGCTGCATCAAACTTACAACTCTTGTATTGTCCTAGATTTGTATGAGCTAGTTTTTCAAGACATCTGTGCTTGAGCTGTTTTGCTACAGTGATGGCTTTTAAGAAATACTTTTCAGAGGATGCAAAGTCGCCAATATAACTAAACGCACTTCCTAACCCTATGCTAGCATTGACCTTTCTCGTTTTGCATCCAAGCTGTGTGGCAAGTCTTACCACTTCGTTGTAAAACTCAATGGATTCTTGGTACTGACCAGCTTGCAGGTGGTTGTATCCTAGCCATTGATATGCTATTATTTCCATCTCATCTCCCTCTAGGTCTAGAGATATTTTACGTGCTTTCTGATAATATTCGATTGCCTTCTTATATTCAGAGATTCCAGTAAATACGTTTCCCAAATGTTGATAAGCTTTTGCTTTGATGTCATTGTGATCTGTTTCATTCGCAATTTGAACTGCTTCTTCATAACTTTTGATGGCCTCTTCACTTCGGCCTTCTGTTTGGTAAGAATGTCCCAAGATCAATAATTGTTCTGCTAACGCAATTCTATCATCAGTGATAGTTTTGTTTTCGATGTCTGTTTGTTTCACACGATCAGCAATTTCATCCTGAAGTTGAGCGCCGTCTGATGTATCGGATATTTTAATACTATTAGTATCATAGTTCTCATCGACTGGATTTAGATCTAAACATTGAAAGTACAGTGTTTCCAGAATTTTTCTCAACCATTTAAAACGCCGAAGCAAGAAAAGAGTCCGATAAAGAGTTTGTTATGTTTTACCAAAGTAGGAAATAATATTTACAAGTGTGTAGAGAGACAAATTGGACAAACTGTTCTTCTTCGAGCATTCTAAAGGCTGGTTTACACTTGCAATTTGTGCTGCAATTTTAGGTGGGATTTTCTCCTTCTAATGCATGTGAACGAGTGGATGAATTATGAACGTACAGTTGAGGGGACATATACTCTGAACATTCATAACTCATCTACTCGTTCGCATACGTTAGAAGAAGAAAATCGCACTAGAAATCGCAGCAAAAGTTGCAGATGTAAACGGGCCTTAAAGACTTTAATGTTTACACTTGCAATTTTTCCTGCGATTTTAGGTGCGATTTTCTTCTTCTGATAGATGCGAACGAGCGGATAAGTTATGTTTGTTCAGATGAGGGTACATACACTCGGAACATTCGTAACTCATCAACTCGTTCACATGCATCAGAAGGAGAAAATCGCACCAGAAATCGCTGCAGACACTGCAAGTTTTAATTTGATCAATATTTCATAAGGAGTTTGTGACAGTTTTAGGTGTTCATTTTGATTTTTAATTTTCTTTTTCTAATTTTTCTGGTTTTTCCCAACAAACCAGTTGTTGAAAGGTGTTGAAAATTCGCCATATTTAAATAAACGGTGTCAGCTACTTGTGGCACTGAAGACAAAACATAGAATTTAATTTAATGTTTGTCAAAATCATTGGACAATTTGTAATTACCTCAATTAGTTTCTTTCAACTGTATATGGCCTCACTCTTACTGTAATCAGAATTTTAGTTGTGTTTTAAAACGCGACAGATGTTCTACCGTAGACAAAAACTAAAGCTCTCTGTCAACTAAAAGGTTTTACGCAGGTTTTAACGAACTTGGGCTTTATTTTTCGGATTGATGCACGACCCCTTAGCTCTCCTCCGACAATGTCTTATTGAATCTTAAATAATTAAAAAATGATCTGCAACGGAATATATCAACTGACTCTCACAAATATCAGAAAATCATCAATTCATAACGTGCCCAGGGTCTTCTCTCTATATACAGGGAAGGAAAAACCCTGGTAGAAGCTGGTTATGTGATCTGACCTGTCCTGTTTATTGGAGAAAACAATACTTGTACACATGGCAAAAGTCAGCTGGCGGTATAAGGGTTTGGGGTTGAAGAGCGGGCAGCGATAATTAGTGAGGGAAGGCGCGGGAAAGGCGAAAACGCGAGCGATTTTTCTCGTCCCCGTTTTCCCCTTTCCCGCTCCTCGCCTCCCCAAGTTTCGCTTCCCGCGCCTCAACCCCAACACCTAAAAACCGCCAGCTACGCAGGCTACCTAGTGCATTCCTACCTCTCCCAGCCCAAATTTACATAACAACGCTAATTAAAAATTCGATATATTTTAGCATATCACGTGACCAGCACTGCCAGCGTCTTTCCTTAATACCGAGAAGAGAGAACCTGGGTACGAGCTGGTTACTAAGCTTACCAGTAATTTTTGAAAAATTTTGAATTACAATTCTTGTGAAGTTTTCTAGATGTTTATATCCTGTTTCTTTGGCAATTTCCAAGGCTTTTTCACAGTATTCCATTCCCTTTTGAATCTGATTGTTCAATTTATAAGCTTCACCTAACTTAAGGTATGCGCGTGTTTCCTCGTGTTTATATCCTCGTTCTTTGGCAATTTCCAAAGCTTTTTCATAGCATTCCATTCCCTTTTGAATCTGATTGTTCAACTTATAAGCATCTCCTAACTCAAGGTATGCACGTGTTTCCTGTAGTGTAAATCCTAGTTCTTTGGCAATTTCCAAGGCTTTTTCACAGTGTTCCATTCCCTTCTGAATCTGATTGTTCAATTTATAAGCATCCCCTAACTCAAGGTATGCGCGTATTTCCTGTAGTTTATATCCTCGTTCTTTGGCAATCTCCAAGGCTTTTTCACAGTATTCGATTCCCTTTTGAATCTGATTGTTCAATTTATAAGCTTCTCCTAAATAAAGGTATGCGCGTATTTCCTCGTGTTTATATCCTCGTTCTTTGGCAATTTCCAAAGCTTTTTCATAGCATTCCATTCCCTTCTGAATCTGATTGTTCAATTTATAAGCATCTCCTAACTCAAGGTATGCGCGTGTTTCCTGTAGTTTATGTCCTCGTTCTTTGGCAATTTCCAAGGCTTTTTCACAGTATTCTATTCCCTTTTGAATCTGATGGTTCAATTTATAAGCTTCTCCTAACTCAAGGTATGCGCGTGTTTCCTGTAGTTTATATCGTCGTTCTTTGGCAATTTCCATGGCTTTTTCATAGTATCCCATCGCCTTTTGAATCTGATTGTTCAATTTATAAGCTTCGCCCAACTTTAGGTATGCGCGTGTTTCCCCGTGTTTATATCCTCGTTCTTTGGCAATTACCAAGGCTTTTTCATAGTATTCCATTCCCTTTTGAATCTGATCGTTCCATTTATAAGCATCTCCTAACTCAAGGTATGCGCGTGTTTCCTCGTGTTTATATCCTCGTTCTTTGGCGATTTCCAAAGCTTTTTCGTAGCATTCCATTGCCTTTTGAATCTGATTGTTCAACCTATAAGCTTCTGCTAACGCAAGGTATCCGCGTGTTTCCTGGTGTTTATATCCTCGTTCTTTGGCAATTTCCAAGGCTTTTTCATAGTACTCCATTCCCTTTTGAATCTGATTGTTCAATTTATAAGTTTCTCCTAAGTGAAGGTACGCGCGTATTTCCTCGTGTTGATATCCTCGTTCTTTGGCAATTACCAAGGCTTTTTCATAGTATACCATTCCCTTTTGAATCTGATTGTTCAATTTAAAAGCTTCTCCTAACTCAAGGTATGCGCGTGTTTCCTCGTGTTTATATCCTTTTTTTTTTATAATTTCCAAGGCTTTTTCATAGTATTCCATTCCCTTCTGAATCTGATTGTTCAATCTATAAGCTTCTCCTAACCCAAGGTACCCACGTATTTCCTCGTATTTATATCCTCGTTCTTCGGCAATTTCCAAGGCTTTTTCATAGTATTCCACTCCCGTTTTAATCTGATTGTTCAATTTATAAGCTTCTCCTAACTCAAGGTATGCGCGTGTCTCCTCGTTTTTATATCCTCGTTCTTCTGCAATTTCCAAGGCCTTTTCATAATATTCCATTGCCTTTTGAATCTTATTGTTCAATTTATAAGCTTCTCCTAGCTCAAGGTACGCGCATGTTTCCTCGTGTTTATATCCTCTTCCTTTGGCAATTTCGTAGGCTTTTTCGCAGTATTCTATTCCCCTTTGAATCTGATTGTTCAATTTATAAGCTTTTCCTAACCCAAGGTACGCGCATGTTTCCTTGTGTTTATATCCTCGTTCTTTGGCAAGTTCCAAGGCTTTTTCATAGTATTCCATTCCCTTTTGAATCTGATTGTTGAATTTATAAGCCTCTCCTAGCTCAAGGTACGCGCATGTTTCTTCGTGTTTATATCCTCGTTCTTTGGCAATTTCAAAGGCTTTTTCACAGTATTCCATTCCCTGTTCAATCTGATTGTTCAACTTATAAGCTTTTCCTAACCCAAGGTACGCGCATGTTTCCTCGTGTTCATATCCTGTTTGTTTGGTAATTTCCAAGACTTTTTCATAGTATTCTATTCCCTTTTGAATCTGATCGTTCCATTTATAAGCATCTCCTAACTCAAGGTATGCGCGTGTTTCCTCGTGTTTATATCCTCGTTCTTTGGCGATTTCCAAAGCTTTTTCGTAGCATTCCATTGCCTTTTGAATCTGATTGTTCAACCTATAAGCTTCTGCTAACGCAAGGTATCCGCGTGTTTCCTGGTGTTTATATCCTCGTTCTTTGGCAATTTCCAAGGCTTTTTCATAGTACTCCATTCCCTTTTGAATCTGATTGTTCAATTTATAAGTTTCTCCTAA